ACTTATTGTAAATGTCAATTTTGAGTGAATAATCTCCAGTAGTTACTAAAATATCGCAGTTTTCGTATTTTTGGAAATTACCGTTATATGGGAAGTGGGCGTGGTTACTGTCTGATTTCGCCCATTTTCAATACCAACCTACCTTGGGTAAATGGAAACCCACATACCAAATTTCGTTGAGATATCTCAATTATCGTGTACACAGACGGACGGACAGACAGACATGGCTTAATCGACTTCTCTATTCATTCTGAGCATTTATGTATACATTTGTCTATATCTATCTCGATTCGTTTTGGCTGTTACAAACAAGTGCGCTCGGGTATAAAAAGATGAGGATGAGGATACCGATAAAAGTAAATATGAAGAGGATATAGATAGAGACACAGAGACTCAATCTGAAAACTATTTTGGGATTTTAGAGATTTTCGTGATTCTCGGGACTTATCGATATAATAATCGATATTTTTATCAGTTTAGTTATCGATATTTTTATCCATTTTGTTAGCAAAATTTTTATCGATTTTGCTATCGATATTTTCGGAGCTTGTCGATATAATAATCGATATTTGTATCGATTTTGTTATCGATAGTTTTGACGATTTTGTAATCGATATTTTTGACGATTTTGTTATCGATATTTTTGATCGATGTTGTTATTGGGTAAGTTATCGATATTTTTATCGATATACATAAATTTCATATCTACCGCCTTTTTAATGGTATAAGTCGTTTTTGTAAGCGCTCCCAGATATGTAATTCCGTGTTAATAGTCCCAGTTGTAACAAAACAAATTGCTGCGCATACCAAAACTACATATTGCCTGCCATACCAAATATTTTGTAGGAAAGTTTGTATTTTTTTTTTGTTTTTGGTTTTGTACTCCTCTGGGACATTGTCTATACCGTTTGCGACATAAAAATCGCCACCCGGAAGCTGCGACATGTCGCCAAGTACATATGTATGTATCATCCTCAATAATGCAGCAAACAAATTCTCTGTATGAAATCACGTTGAACTCGTTTGGCTCGTTCCTTTGCTTCGATATTCTTTTCTGCTTTTCTATCTAGAACGTTTGGTCTTTCTTTCTTCTTAACTTTTCTATCGATAGCCTGAGTGTATTGTACATTTTCTGCTACCTTTCTTCCCGATATACTTGGATTTTTCTTAAAAAGTGCTACAATCATCTAGGCTTCATTCGGGGTTTCGAAATCCTTTGGTATGCCAGTTCCTTTTTTCCTATTAGTAGCTAGACGTTTGCCATAGATTTTATTAGCTCGCGAAACGGTATTGCTTGACACGTTTGCTTTTTCAGCCATGGTTTCGAGAATCCAATATGGATTTTCCTAAAAGAATTCTCACAATTTCTTCATTTATTTATTTACTCATTTCGAAACTTGATTTGAAAAGAATCAAATTTTCCATTTGAAACGTTATATAAGTAAAAAATGCTTGCACTAATTTGCTACCAGTACCTATACCAATAACATTACCAACACTAATACGAATACTAATTTCAACATCCACACCAAAAAGAATGCCGATATCAGTACCTTTAGCAATACCAATACCACCTGCCTTCTTTTCTCTCCACGATAACATTTTTTCAAGCACGTAAAATGTAGGCTTTTAACATCTTGTTTTTCAACATTCTTCTTGTACCGCATTCGCCTTAGAGATTCCTCTTACAATTACCCTTAAATACAATCGAAGCCTGTCTAAAATGTCAGCTTACAATTATTTGACTATGACATCTGCCATCACTCCATTTGTAATGTTAAAGTAAATCCCTTTTTGTGATTATTGCTCTTCTATGCATAATGCCATTGCAAGCATAGGCAGTCGTCCTTATTTTCATCAACTCTCTATTATCAGCATTTCTCTATATTTGCATATTATTATACATATGTATGTGTGTGTACATTAAGACTAAATTTTATTTCCATTACTGTAAATTCACAATAGCCATATTAGCGCCGACAATGCAAAGCTGTTTGATAACCCACAGCGTTAACGATACTACTTTAAGCATGGAGGTTAGCGAGCGCGTTAAGCTATGCTTCTCTCAATAAAAGATAGCGAGTAATACGAGTTAGCAAGGTGAAAATTGTTTTATTTTAAATAAAAACGAATTTGCAGCGCTTAAAGCCGCATTCAGCAATTTTCGATTGCTACAAGAAAATACGCAAATTTTCTTTAAATGACTAAATTAAAAGCAACAAGAAAATGACAGACGTTCTCCTTTGCTTTTTTTCCCTATGAAGCGCTCCTCTACCTATATGTGTATGGATGTATTTCTCTTGAAGTCTTTGCTATCTACGTGCATACATACATACTTTGTAGCAGCTTACTAGGCGCTTTAAACCATCGAATCTGTGTGAGAAACGAAAAAAAAAAATCGCAAAACTAACGCATGAACGACATTGATGATGTGCCAGCGAGAGTTTCAATTTAAATTATACGAAATCGAAATTGTTTCTCAGCCTTTTTTTTGTTGGTTTTGTGCTTAACTCGCCTATCTCATCTACCCACATATCCCATTTTCCTCGCACCGATTTTCATGATAGCTGCGACAAAGCATTTAAAATTGCGCAGACAATGGCAAATAAATAAACGAAAAATCGTGCGGGAGAATCTACATACAGTGACGAACAAAAGTATTGGCACAAAGAACTTTTCGCATTGTATGGCAAACTTTTTTTTATTACAATTTCTTTTCTCTAATTTTTTATAAAAATATAGTTAATTTTACAACGAAAAACAAAATAAAAAATAAAATCTATAAACTTTGTGCAAAACTCAGCAAAACTCCATAATCTTGCATACTAATTTTAAACTTTCTAATCAGATTTTTTAGAAAAATTCTACGTATATAGCCTCAAACTTGCACTTGGTTATACTAAAATTGAATGGGCTGAAAAACTGCATACTTAAGATTTTTCTAACAAGTCTGATTACAAAATCGCTGATTAGTATGCAAATTTATTGAGTTTTGCACAGAGTTTAGAGATTTGGTTTTTATAATTTTTGTTGTTTTATGCACTACATTTAAAAAAATATAGTTGCGAAAATAAATTTCAATAAAAAACTTTGCATAAATTTCAAAAAATTCTCTGTGACAATACTTTTGTTCGTCACTGTAGATATAACGAAAAATCCAAATACAAGAAGTTTGTAAAGCTGACGTTAATCGAAAAAGAAGGAAGAAATTTACAAAAAAAAAAATATAATAAAAATCGGCACCAAGCGCGAGTTTTGCGAGATTAAAGAGAAAAACGGATAGCAGCAGAAATCCGTATTTGCAGTAAATGCTGTTCGATTACAATCAATACTACGCCTGACTGCTTGGATGTGGGTGGGTAATATGTAATGCTAGGGTAGTATGTAAGTATGTATGCGGTTGATAAGTGTATATGTATGTATGTCGAAAAGTAGGTGTGTAACTAAGTATTGATTCACGTAATGCAAATTAAGGCCCTCTCTTCTGCCTTTTGCTTTTGATTCTTTACTTTAAATGGCGCAGATGCTGAGTTAAATCGGCAAGTTTGTTCAAAATTTTAACAATGGCTTTAGTTTTCTTAATTTTTTGCTTGCTAAATGTTATCCATTAAATCCATACTTTTTTTAATTTTATGTTCCTGAAGATTCTTTTGCCATTTTTATATCCATGTTAAGCATTTTTCCTTCATTATGAAGTCGTTGCTTATTTCGCGTCCATCCTCAGCTCTGCTCCAATTTTAAACACAAGCGACTCGTAAAACAACCAATAATCACATTAGCACCCTGGTGCTGTTGTTAGCAGATACTTGTGATAATAATTGATTTTTATAAGACTTTTTATTACAGTTAGTTGTAAAGTTCAAAGAAGGTGTAGGAAACCGCAAAGGAATTTGAAATTGTTCTACATTCAAACTTACTAGGATAAGAATAATATGACTTTGGATCTGTCTCCATAGCCTTGAGTGTGGTGGAAGTTTCTGTTAAGTTTGTTTCCTTCATCTGTGGCTAATCAAAAAAAATTTCAGGAGAAAATTCAAGCATATAAAAATATGAAATTATTGTGTACTACTCCAACTGAACCCAATTTTAAAGACAACGTATAAAACAAATACCAAAAAATTTTATAAATTTGCAGGTTTTAGTTAGATTAAATCCGTACACTTGAGACACGTAAGTAAATTTAATGGGCTTATTTCACTTTGTACCGATATAAAAAAACAAAAACAAGATTTTGCTTAAAATCTTCACTTTCATCCAACATAATTTGAAAACCAATCGAGTTAAATACAGCATACCTCGCAAAAGTTTATATATTTGTATAAGTATTTTGAAAATATTGACCAAGTTAGAATATTTATCTAAAAAATATATCTTATAATTATGTTTTCTTTAACTCTAGTTTTATTATCTTCCTATCAAGATATCTTAGTATAAACATGCATAATTACAAATTTAGTAGCACTAGCATAAGTTCCTAAGTCGATTAATGTTGTACGCCTAAATGTATGCTACACAAAAAATCCAAATTCCAAAATTATTTCAATTGAAAATCAAAGCAAATACAAAAGTAATTAAAAATGTTGCTTGCCTAATAAACTATTAAAATTAAACTGAGCACAATGGTGGCCAAAAATTGCATGAATTAATAAATCGAAGGCATATGTAGGCATGTTGTGTATTTTTAAGCTGCTTACAATCAAACTACTTATACTACTACACATAAAATGCTAATTAAAATATGATAAAAACTAATTTAGTAATTCACTATGGAGTGCAAATAATAACAAGAAACAAGAAAATCTGTAATATAATGAATTAATCAATATAATAATCAGATTAAAAACAATAGCAGCTTGCATTCAAGCTCAGTTAGTTTATAAATTCAATTTAATGCATTAAAAATTATGTTGAAATCAAAATCAAAACAAAAAATCAATTAAAATAGAAAACCAAAACAAAGCAAAACAAATGAATCTAATGTTCCTGTGTGTGTGTTGCAGATGCGAATTTTTCGGATTTTCCATATATACAATATCTAACACGTAAGTTTGTTGGTGGAGTTCGTTTATAAATGCTATACTCGCACTAAGGGTGTGAGTGTTGTAGTGGTTGAAGGTCGATCCTTTTTGTTGCTGTTGAAAATTAGCTGTTTGGTTTACACTGCGCGATATACATATGTAGGTGACAAAGAAAAGCTGACACTTTAGGGAGAATATGCAGTCGGTGCTAAATGTATGTGTACACCTTGTTGTAATATAAAATTCACAATTATTTTCATGCTAAATTTTTTTCATTAATTATTTATGAAAATATAGATAATTCTATAACAGCAACCATATAACACAAAGTTTCACACTTTATATAAAGTTCAGAAAAATTAAAAACAGTTTTCATCACAATTTCAAAAATTGTATTAAAAATTTCTAGAAAATTTTCGAGTTTGCAGTTTTGTAGCCCGTTCAATTTCAGTACAAAGTGCAAGTTTCAAGTCGCTAGAAATTACCGTTGATTTTTTATAATTTTATTTTTTTTTGTGGAGGGTGTTGCGGGTGATCAAAACCTATTTTTAACCGACTTCCAAAAAAGGAGGAGGTTATCAGTTCGTCGGAATATTTTTTTTTTTTTTTTTTATGTATGTTACCGCATAACTTTGGACCCCTTTATGCATCGGAAAGGTAGCGTCTCAGAGGTGGTCCCATACTAATCTCGTTAAGATCCGATCAGCGGATCATGAGATATATATATATATATTTTTTTTTTATATGGGAGTTGAAGTCGGTTTTTTTTTTGCTAAAAATTACTAGTTATATGGAAGGAAATGCGCAACACCCTCCAAAAAAAAAAATTACGAAAATTGAACGAGCTACAAAACTGCATACTCAAAAATTTTCTAGAAATTCTGAATAAAAATTTTGAAGTTTTGATGAATTTTTGTAAACTTTATATAAAGTGTGTTATATGGTTTATGTTATAGAATAAGCTATATTTTCATAAATAATTAATGAAAAAAATTTTGCATGAAAATTATTTTAAATTTTATATTACAACATGGTGTACACTTACATTTGACACCGACTGTATATCCGAGTGTCTACAAACAAAATTTTGTTTCTTTGTTCAAAAGCAATATTCATTATATAATTTCTTGCTGTTGCTGGAGTCCCTATCAATTATTTTCTTTTAACTTATTGTTAAACCTTGTTCACAGCTCTGCTCTTACTAAATTAAGATTTTATTCTTAATTTTAATTTTATATACTTTTGATTTTTAATTTTGATTTTATTCCTAAAAAGAGCTCCAAATGGTTGCGCGCAAGCTCAAACAAAATAAATCGCCAGGCCGAGATGATAGCGTAGACTATTTTCCGACACATGAAAACAGCATGAGCCTACCTGAGTGGACGCAAAGTTTTACTTCAGACTAAAATTCTCTGTATCGCGAAAACGGTCGCGAAGGGGGGATCCTCATCGAGTAGATTAGTAGCTAACAGTAACAAACCTGCTAATGTCATTTAAACTTTCTGCACTATCTCTACTTTATAAGCACCAAATGTGAGCTCGCGCTTTACATACAGATAAGGCGTCGCATGAAAATAGTGTCATCAGTTCAACGGATCCAGGGAGAGTGTTTTACACTTTGCTGAAGTGACTGCATCGGCATGGCGCATTTCAATCCCAGTGAACTTTCCACAAGTAGTAAGATCTTGTTGTTTGCGCCAATTACTGCCCACCAATCGATTGAGTCGACCTTATTAGTTTGGCTTCAGACCTGCTAAATTTCCACATTTTCACGGCACGTCAGGTCCTGTAAAAGACACTCCCTGCCCGCCGTTTTTAAACCCACTTGGAGAGAAAGACCAAAAACAAAGCGCCTTCTGGCAACACACAATGAGTATCCGTGCCTAGGGACGCACGCCACGGTTTAAAGTAATATAAAGTAAAGTAGCAAATGACTTCGTCTAACCAGGATTCAGCATTGACGGCAGACCAGACTGTAGATCGAAGGAAGACTATCTCTTGCCGAAGCGGATCTACTTTGAGCTCGGTTGGCTATTGGAAAGCAGAGCTCTTGCTCGACAAACAAAGATCACGCTCCGCAAGTTTCTTATAATGCCCCTTCCTTTAAATGGCGCAGAAACTTGGACGATTTAGAACAAAAAATAGGAGGATGCGGGAGGATACCGACAGAACTATTCTGGGCTACCCTATTAGATGGAATGGCAAACTGTGGGAGCTTTTTTCTGCACTTGGGGTTGAACAATTTGTGCAACTTCGTAAATGAAAAATGAAATTGGCGAAGTTTTTTTGTTTCAACCTAAACATGAAATTGGTTGTAGTGCCTAATAAGAAGAAACTGAAAAAGGATTTTTTTTTTTAATTTTCGATTTCTCTTTTGTTATATTTTATTTTATATTTTTTTCAATGAAATTTTTTTGATCAGGGATGGAAAACCATCATTATTTTTTTAATTTTAAATGAAAAATTTTAGCTCACATATTTGTATTTGAAAAAAAAAAACATTTTAAATATTTGAAAAAAGTAATTCAAAACAATTGAAAAAGATAATGAATAAATGCTGATTTAAATTATTTTACTCATAATAAATACGTTTCCAAATTTAAATAATTTTTATTCAGTGTTATGCTGGTATTATTCAAAGCCCATATTTAACAAATTTTTAATTACACTCAATACAGAATTTTGTTCATAATTAAATTTTTACATTCTACATTCGCATTTATTTCACATCATTACCACATTTCCCAACATCAGCTCGATTTTACTAACAGTTTCTTATTTTTAATTTAACACCTTAAACACAACATGCATTAATTTAACACACACATACATACACATGTGCTCGATGTGCGCGCAGCTGCCATTTACCAACTCATCAAAGTAAATAAATTACTTATTTTCACTCTCGCTTCCGTTATAAATATTTGTTCATGAAAAATTAATTTTTTACATTTCATGTAAATGTCCCAATAACAACAATAATATTAAACGCACGCTTACAACAATAAACAGGACCTTCATTAAACATTATATATTTATGTATGTACATATGTACTTATGTATGTGTAGCTTTCATAAAATACTCAGAAAAATTAAAAATTTATTTTTACCTAAAAAAAACACAGTTTTAATTTGCATGTAGTGGTGGTAACCATATGTCGACGTGCGTGCAATGCTTTTGTGCAACAGGATATGTAGTAAATAAATGGTATGGAACGCTTTTGTTTAACAGATTGAAAAAAAATTGTAATGAAAATAAAAATCCGAAAATTGTTCGTTGCTATGAGCAGCGCAGCAGGGAAAAGTTGAAAATAAACGCGCAAAGTAATAAAGTAAATAAATTCATGAACATAACTAGTCATGCGCAAATCATTTATGTATGCATGTACATTAGACTGGGTCGCAAGAAGAAAAAAGAAGAATGCAATTACCCGCTTTGGTTGAAACCATTCTTGGAGAGGAGTTTAGAGATATAGAATATGTCCTTGGTGAGTTCTAATTTTTTTATTTATGACTTGATTTCGAAATGTTGTTATATATCATTGGAAAGATAAGTTTTTTTTAATTAAATTAAATCACAAAAACATTTATCTTTCCTTTTAAAGCAGTTAAAACAAATTAATAAAATTAAATTAAATTAAAATAAAGCAAAAATAAATAAAGATAATTTAAAAAATTAAAGTAAAAAAAATATATATATTTTTTTAAACAATAAAATCTAAAAATAAATTAGAAAAAGAAAAAAATGTAAGTAAAAAATTTAAAAAATAACGTACTATTACAATTAAAAAAAATGTTTTTAAAAGTAAATATAAAAAGTTAAAGCAAATGAAATAATAGAAAATTGGTTTCATAAAAAAATAAATAAAATCTAAAAATCAAAAGAAAATCAAACCCACAAAAGAAACCCAAATTAAATTAAAACAGACAACATAAAGTAAGCTTCTAGAAATTAAATGATTTAAAAAAGAATAACATCCAAAAGTTTAAAAAAATTATATTAAGAAAGAACAAAAATAAATTAAGATATAAAAAAATAACATAAGGTTCTAAAAATTAATTGTATGAAAAACAAATCCTTTATAAATAAAGAAATCTAAAAATCAAAAGAAAGTTAATCTTTTAAAAGAAAATAAATAAATAAACAAAATAAATACAAATAAATAAAATAAATTCCTAAAAATTAAATTAAATTAAAACAAAAATGTTTTTCTTTTTAAAAGAATAACATCTAAAAATTAAAAGAAAATTAAGTTGCGAAGGAAAAAAATTTTTTTATAAAAAAAAATACTTAAGATAAATTTCTATAAATTAAATTGAATTAAAAAATATATGTTTTTCCTTTTAAAGCAATAATATCTGAAGATTAAAAGAAAATGTAATTGAAAGGAAAAAAATTCTAGTTTGAAAAAAAAAACGAACTCAGATCTCTCGAACGGCATGCCAGGGGTTTTTCGCTCAGCCATTGCGACTGCTGTAGCGACGCGAGCTTAATGACATACAAGTGCTGTCTCTCAAAATAGATTTTCGACACTAGTGGTATATGAGAGAGGGTTTTTTTTCTAAGACTAGTGCTAAAATAACAAAAGTCTTTCCAACTATCTTGCCATCTTTCCTTCATTTGTCTTGCGAAAGACTTCTTACTATCCCAGCCAGAATGGCCCTATAAATGTTGATGTTGGTAGATAACACATACGCTGCGGCAAGTGAGTAACTTAGGCTGCAGCCTGCTGGCAGTCACTAACAGTCAAATAGTCAAGTCGCGTTGAGTTTTGAAATATGAAGATTTTACTAGTACATTCAAGTTAAGTAACTCTAGTCTGCTTGATTACTCGCTTGACAGCCAAAGTTGCTCGCTTGGTGGGGCATATGAGTTATTCGGAATTTAGTATACTATAGCCTATAGCCTATATATATAATATATATAATATAGGCTATATGCTAAAGAGCCACTTGATGCCGATCGGAACGTAGACAGTTGGATATTACTTAAAGATATAATTTCAAAAATGTATGTATCACACTTTTATATCGAATACATTTCGATTTTTGCTATTTTAAGCGCTCGCTGAGGAGGTAAATTTTCATAACCCCGAAATGTGAACCTAGGAGTCCCCTTTTCATATTTTTCGTCATATCTTCGGCATATCTTCAAGTACTCCGGTCTGCATAGTGCTTACGCATCAGATCTCAGTTCTTATCACCCTAATGTAATTAAACTTAATGTCATTTAAGCTTTTGCCAGAGAAATATTTCTGGCTCAAGACCATTTCCTGAAAATTTGAGGATCATTTTGGTGCTGATAAGGGTCCATTTCGGGAGACCGTTTCAAGACTATTTCAGTGCCAAACAGAGCGTAGCTCGGTATAATTTCGGGATTCGGTCGAGACCGTTTCGGGACTTTTTAAATATCATTTCGTTACTAGTTCAGGATCATTTCATGACCGTTTTTTTCTTTACCCATGCCTTTTCTTCGAAATTGCCTTGCAGCGATGTACCGCAAACTTTTTTTGTTTGCTTGTGAAGTGGTGCTGTCTAATGTACATATTACATATGACTACATAGTGTATGTACATACATACATAGTATATGAACACTGGCGTGTATGGCGCTGCATTTAAGCTGCTAGTGTGTGTCGTCTTTGCATTTCGTGAGTTTTGCGCATTTTCGCACAACAAACAAAGCCACGCGTAAGTGGACGACAATGAGCGGCGCATATGTGTGAAATTCCATGCATACAAACATACATACATGTTCATATTCCTGTTGTCCGTCGTATAGCATATTGAGCGCCACATTTCAGATCAGACGATGCAGGTGCTTTTTGTTAAGTGCTTATGAACAAAAAAAAAAAGCACACAATTAGGGGCAGACGCGGTTACCCAGTCGGCCTTTCAATGAGGTCAATTGGGTAAAAGTGATTAAATTAGAGCATTTCAATTAATTGCATTTAAAACAAGACGCATAATTATGGCCAAATATCAATGACATGAAAAACAGCAGAATTTTAAAACTTAAAAAAATGAAAAATTTAATTTTGTTTGAACAAAATTGCAATATTTCGCTTGCTTGCGCGATTAGACTCAAATTTAAAAACAAAATTTTTTTCTTCATCTCGTTGTGGTTAAGGCGCTCAGCCATAAACGAAAAACAACGACGAAAATACGCACTTAAATACCTACGACATTCCGTAGCCCATATTTTCTGCAACAAAGCAAAGCGCCGCATATGCGACCACAGACACACACACATATGTACATATGTACAGTCATGTGTAAAATAATAATTTTTGATAATGGTTTTTGTGGTTCGTGTCATTATTTTCTTCCATGCAAAAAAAATTGTTGAACAGACTTTGTATGGAAGAAAATGCATGACAGGTCAGAAAAAAAATTGAATGGGCTCTACAACTGCACTCTTAGATTATTTTCAAAAATTTATAATAATTTTTTTTTTTATAATTTTTCTACAAAGTTTTATATAAAAATAATAAAGATTAAATAAACCAAGGAAGTTTATCAAAAACTGGTCGAAATATCGTGCACCTATTATTTTTCACATGACTATATGCAAACATGCACATCGATATGTTTGCATTTGCTATTAAAGCCGAGTGTGTAACCAAAACGCAAGTACTCGACGCGGCCTGTCACGCTCTGCTATCAAACCCTTAAGCGCTTTAGTCAACGTGTAACGTTGAAAGAACGTAGAAAAAGCAAATATAAGCACATACATGCATGCATATATGAATGTTATCTCGTTTCATTTTTTGCAATATTTCTGGATATTTTTCTTTTTTCACTTCTTACTCACACAGAGTGCAATTCGCTTTGATGTAAGCACTACCTACCTACATACACACGTCCATTCCTATTTCTAGCATATACGCTATTTGTATCGGGTATTAAACGTAAACATACATTCACACGTTTCGTTGATTTGTTTAGGGACTTAGCGGTAAAGCTTGTTACGTGCTCTTTTCCAGTGCTTCAGTGCTCGCTGTTGCCCCGTTTGTAGCGGAAAAATCTGGCACGATTTACACATGAGCATTTCCACAAAGGAAGTGTACATTTACTTGACGGTGCCATAGTACTTAGCTCTTCTTTGATTTTGTTTTAATAGAAATTTCTTGAAAATGTTTCCTTCTCAATGAGCTGGTTCACTTACTTCCGTTGGCTTAGGTCGCTGGTTTTCTCTTGTCGCCATTCTTTTTATTTTCTTCCTTTTAACCTTTTCATAATTATTACTTATTGCACTCTTACCCTCTTCTCTTCCACAGATCCACCGGAGATTATCAAGAAGCCTCAGAATCAGGGTGTACGCGTTGGTGGCGTGGCTAGTTTCTACTGTGCTGCTCGTGGCGATCCACCGCCATCGATAGTTTGGCGCAAGAATGCTAAGAAAGTATCTGGTAAGTTTTGAAGCTATTAACTATATTAATAGCTAGCAAATACCCGGCCTGCTTCGCTGCGCCTTAAAGTTTTTTTGTGTTGTTACACCTCCCAAAACTTATAAATAAAAAATTAAATAAATTTAAAGGGATTAATGAAGTGAGATTTTTAAAACAAATTTTCGATTTTTGAAGTATTCTTAATTTTTTATGAATGTGGCTGCTTAATTTAATTTATTTTCGAAGGTATGTATTTAAAAAGTAAAAAAGTATAAACGATTCGTATACCGTATAATTATCTTCCATAAAAAGCGGAAATCCAATTTCTTTTGTAATTTAAGCAAAAATGTGCGCGAGGTATTTACTAGTTGGAGATATTTCCATATCAAAGTATTCTCAAATATTTTCGTTTGATACCCATATTGTAATAGTCAGCTGATCTTATCGATTTAACGGAATTAGATTTTTCAAATAGTTGGCAACCCGCTTCAAAAATATTTTCGCCAGCAAACTTTCTTAAACCACATTAGCGTAATACCCGTATTGTAATATTTCATTTATTTTATCAATTTTATTGAATAAAATTTTTCAAACAGGTGGCAGCCCTCCTCAAAAATATTTCCGGCAGTAAACTTTCCTCGACTGAATTCCAGAATTTCTAACCGCATTCACACATGCATTTATTTAGATAGATTCCGCTTTTTCATTGGAAAATTTTTTGGGCATTTTCATTTAAGCACTCATTCCCTTTTTCTTCATCAATCGATTTTCTTCATTAATAGCTTGATTTTTTTTTTATAACAGAATGCACTTTAACACAAATTAAAACAAAAAACAACTACACAGAATCAGTTATTTTTTTTAATTTTTTCATCTGTTAAAATTTTACTTTTTTTTATATTTTTTTTTATGAAAAAACAAAAAATCTTCAAGTATTAATTCATTTCTCAGAAACCACCAGGCTTATCGAAAAGTTGTGTATTTACCGTTTATGAAGAATTTCGTTAACTTTCATCAGCCGTATTTCGTATTAAAATTGTTAAATTAGTTCGTAAGATATACGAGCCACTAACCCGATTTTCAGAATCATTGAGCGATTCTACATTGGAATTGGATAGGGGCATCCGTAGAAAAAACACAAATTTTGCGATCCAGTGTTACCAGTGTAGTGAAAAGAGCGACTTTCGAGGAATCCTATATACCAAATAATAAAAGTTAATATTGTAGGAACTAAAAATATATAAAACACAATTACGTGGCAAAGCAATATGATTAATGGTGAATGATATTTCAGGCAGACAATACATTGGAAAATATTGCAAGAAATTATTTTCGTTGAAAGAAAGATTTATTACAAAAATACATATTTCAGCGAAAAGTATTCTTTTGTTTGTACTTTCGAAGAATACATATAACTTGGTTATTGTTGCCACTGTTTTCGAAAAAAAATCATTATATGTATTTAAATAAGTTCGCGCTTGTTTAAATAGCAAAGCAAATGCAGTTTTCAGCTCCTCCTCTTCTTCTAATGTGTTCGACTTCAGACCGAAAGCTGCATATCGTCGATGCCTTTGCAAAACCGGCCGTCGACCTCAAAACCTTAACGAGAGAGCAAAAAAACTTTTCTTTGAGGCCGTTGACTTTATCAGGGATATGTGGGTAAAATTTTACTAACAAAAATTTGCAAAAAGCAATTCAGATGCATATAATTTTTATTCTGAATGTAAATATAACGCACTTTTTTCCATACGAAAAAATTGTCGAACATACTTTGTATAGAAGAAAATGCGTTAGGAAAAATTGCCAAAAATCAACGCGATTTTTTAGCAACTTAAAACACACATTCTATTTAAATTGAATGGGCTATAAAACTATATACTCAAAAAAAGTTGAAAATTTAGATGCAAGTTTGCAGAATTTTTATAATTTTTGCACAAAATTTGAGGTATGAATTTATAAAATTTTTTTGATTGACATCTGCTTTTCTCCAGACTAGATGCGAAGATGGCGTTTAAATTTTCTGGGCTGGGATACGTTGAAAATTTTTGTTTTTTCTCGCAAAATTATTATCATCACTTTGCACCCTACTAATTTTTCTTTTTTGTTTCTTTTCTTCAATAGCATAGCTAGTGTGCCCTACCTTTATCATTTTCATCTCTTAGAATAATAGAGTTAAGGCCTCATTCTAAGAAACAAAATAGATTTAAACCTTTTATAAAGTGAAATTTTCATACAAAGTTTCGATTTATAGAGCATTTAGAGTATTCTTTATTTTTAATGAATTTAGGTGTTAATCTGCGCGTCTGAACTGAACCTTCTTTCACTAGACACTTCCACTTCAACAGTTGAGTCGTGTATAGGACGCATTACATCGAATTTTGTGAAGTAAATAATTGGATCGTGTATAGTTTGCATAATATCGAGCTTGGCGCCTTCTCGCGGTTTTCGCTAGCTTCTAAGCAGACATAAAGCATACGACGATTCACATTAGGAATAACAGAGGGAAAATCCGAAGCAGCATTTGCCTTACAGGCAGGGAAATTTCGCTACCAAGAAATGACACCACTTCGTGTAACCGCAATTCTAGGTACCTTGTTAACGTTTTAACTTATTCAGAAATTTACCGGCTACGAAAAGTATGATTTAAAATTTGACAGTACCTTTATTTATCGGTAAACTTTTTTTTGTTAGCAACGCAGAATGGGCCTGTCAGTATCGGGTTTCGATACTAGTATTTTTTTTCGTTACCTACTCAGTACCTACTTGGTTCAAAATACTTGGTATCGAACGAAAAGTATCGATTATGTGCTTGCATTTTTTCGTACCGTTTCGTGCCCAATGCCACCTAAATGAAGTCTAGATAGTACTGTCATACTTTGGCAAAGATTTACTACCTACTTATATACATACATATATGCTACGGTCTTTTTGGTTTTATTTATAAAAATTAATGGTTATAAATGATTTATCTTTTTTTTATCAGGCACGCAATCTCGTTACACGGTGCTAGAACAACCTGGCGGCATTTCTATATTACGCATTGAACCAGTACGTGCCGGTCGTGACGATGCACCATACGAATGTGTAGCTGAAAATGGTGTTGGTGATGCAGTATCGGCTGATGCAACTTTAACTGTTTATGAAGGTAAGTGAAATGCATAGAATATACATACAAACATATGTATGTAGTTGCAAAACAAAAATGAAATGCTTAAAAACATACAAAAACTAAAAAAAAAAATATATTAATAGAAAAGTGTGAAAGACAAATGAATGACATTATAAATACCCAGCGTAGTAATTTTAAATGCAACACTGCGAAAGGGAAATAATATTTTATATGAAATCCTTTTCATGGCAAAATTGGACTGGAAGAAAAATATGTTTTCTATAACTTTTTTGATGCTGCTCAAATCCTCAAAAGAGTCTGGGTTCTATTGAATGTTATACTCCCATCTAACCACTCGTCTACGGCAGCTCCATATCTTTATCCTGCCAATCAATATCGAACCTTCTATGAATAAGTTCTGCAAAATCTTTGAAATCGTTTAAATCCAGAAGAATTTAATTAACATTCTTCCTCTGCCTGTATTAAAAGATTTCGTGCATTGATTTTCAATTAAATTTTCTGTGGAAATAAAAGATAAGTTACAGGGAAAACTAAAGCAACAAATGCAATTAAGAGCATTTTCTACTAAAAGACAAAAAGAAAAACTTTAAACAATATCGGAAATAAAGGCGGAAAAGCATGCAAGTTTACATGTTTGAGAATAAATTTACATTAAATAAACAAAATAGATGTACAGTGGTGGTCACATAAATAGTGACACTACTTCTTTCGAAGGTTTGGCCATTTATTTTTTTTATTTATTTTTATTTACATTCAACAATTTTTATTCAGCTTGAGGCCGTTTTTAATGAAAAATCTTATTGTGGAAAAGCAACAATAATGTGCAAAAATGGTAGAAGTGATAGCTATTTCGGAAATCACCACATTTCCTCATTTTTATTTACAAAAATGTAGTTTATACTACAACGAAAAGTGTGCAACACAAAGTTTTAAACCTTGTACAAGATTTATAAAAATTCGCCAAATTAAAAAAAAATTTTAAAATTTGCAAACTTTTCATTAGAACTTTTTTCTTAACTGATGGTGTTGCTCGTTTACTCCTATATCAAATTTTTTTTATGTACTGTGTATGTACGGAAAAAAATTCTTAACATCGTTAGAAAAAAATTCTCAAAAATCAAAACGAATTTTAAGTCGCTTAAAAAGTGCTCAATATAATCTTAAAATTGAATGCGCCTGAAATTCTGATTAAAAAGTTTGAAAGTTTAATGACCATTTTTGAGATTTTGCAACTTTTTATAAATTTCTTACAAGGTTTGAAAGTTTGAGTTACCTGGTTTTCGTTGTGGCATAAACTATATTTTTGTAAAAAAAAAATATATATGGTCAAAACTCGTAAAGAGGTAACGCTCTTAATTGTGCGACCACCACTGTATGTACCTATGAAGCAATAAATGCGCGTAGGCACTTATTTAAATATGTATAACGTTTCGTCCGTCTGCTTAACTGCCTGAGTAAAGAAGTTAATTGCATGCCAATGTGAATACGTATGGTTTTAAAGTACAAATATGTATGTATATACATATGTACATACATACATCTGCCATTTGTGCACACATTCTGTCTTAGCACTTGATTTAGTTTATTTTACAAACTGTAAATCGTTTAAGGATAAAGTTTTTTGATAGTCCAAACCAAAAGCCTAATCAACTTAGATCGTTACCAAAAACCAAACAAGCAGCTAAGTAAACTTAACAATTGCAACAACAACATAAACTCTTCTCAAACCTTCTTCTACATACATACATATTAACATACAAACATATAAACTCTCAACCCAATTGGCTTCGTTCGTTTATCCCACCATCCCCAATTTTATGTAGCCCCTTACTTAGCACCCAAGCCAGCTAACAGCTAATCAGCCTTTACCAAAACTACAGTTTGTGTAAAACTTTTCAAGTGTGATGCTGTCAAAGGCGGATGTGTGGTTGTCGGTAATGCGTGTGAGTGTGTGTGTGTGTAGACTAGAGCGCTTGTTCATCGGTTTACTAAGTGCCTTCATCTGCATACTGTGTGGTAACTTAGGATACAGATATGTATGTATGTATATGCGTATCTTAAAGTATAATGGCTTCCCGGTTTATATAAATGGTGTGTTAATTTGCAGGATTTCGTGTTTTAAGTGGCATGACTTTTGTGCTGCAAATAATTTTATTTTAATTTTTTCGCAATTTGTTTTCATACAAAAAACTGTGGAATTAAAAAGAAAATGCTAGCGACAGTAATTTCTGATAAAAGAATTTTAAAATGCTGGGCTCTCTGACACTCAAATATGTCGAAGACACTCTTTATAAATGCAAGTTAGCGAGACATGCGTTTTGCTTTTTTATTTGTGCTCTATTGAGATAAATTTACGAGTATAACGCACCCGTGTCATTTATCTAAGCAGCCGTGAAAAGATTGTAAAACGGATAGCTGCACTCACTAATTTCTTTATGGGCATTTATTTTCATTGGCCGAAATGATTGCGCAGCTTGCTCTTCACTTGGTATGAGTGGAGACCGTTGCACCGTTGCTGCCGGGCAGAAGGGCTTTTTCTATAGCTATGGATCTTCTCGAAGGCCATATTGCCATCGCAAGGTACGCTGGGTGGTTGAGGGCTTCCCACTTCCGGAGAATTAAAGAAGAGCCCGAAACGGTGCGAGAAGAAGAAAATGCATGGTACCAGGATTTTTTGAGGGTTCAACCGACAAAAGTAGGAATACAGCCATTTTTAGGATTCGCAGACTCCACACAATGGTTTGTGGTGTGCTAGCAAGTTCACTGGCAGCCATTAAAACCCAAACCTTTTTCGTTTGAAAAATATCTTAATGTATAGGAGGTGTACCTAAAACTATGCTACGCCTTCAGGGGTCAGGATATGCAAATTTTTAGACTCTCCAGTTATTCATTTGGACGCTTCTGGTGGTCGAAATTAAGCGTGAAAATACCATATAATAAAGCTCCACTCATGATATTTTCAGAGACTAACAGGGCGATTATGGCTAATGCTATTGCAAGAATTTTGTAAGACAATTGAAAGGCAGTAAGCAAGATAATTTGAAAGTTTTTGTCTGTTCTGGGACAAAGCTTCCTTACCAATTTTCATGATGAAAAGCTCTTTTGAAAACAAGCACTTGAGCTTTTCCCTAATGGAGACGTATTTATACCATTTCATCAAGATTCAAATCCTGAGGCAGCGGGATTTTTGTTATATATTAAAATTTTTTTTTTAGCGGCCGTAAAGCTCCATAAATCAGCTTATATAAATATATAATTAATTTTTTTCGTTTTTTATACGACTTCAAAACAAGGAGGATGTTATCAATTCTTCAGAATATTTTATTTTTTTGTATGTTACTGTACAGCTGTGGGCCCGGGAACCGATATTGCTAATTTTTTTCTGAGAAGGTAGTCCCAAAATAAATTTTTATATGAGAATTTTTTTATGAAGTCGGTTGTGTTTTTGATTAAAAATTACTGGTTTTATTAAATTTTTTCTTTTCTTAGATTTAATTTTCTTTTAGTTTCTAGATTTTATCTTTTTAAAGAGAAAAATATATGTATATTTCTGAAATTTCATTTAATTTGTAGACTTTTTTATCTATTTTTTTTTTTAACAAAGCTTGCTTTATTTAATTTTCTTTTAACTTTTAGATTTTTGCGTTTTATAAATAAAAGATACGTTTTTAATTTCACTCAATTTATTGAAACTCATATATTTTTAGTTCTTTTTTTATACACATTTTTTAAAAAATATTTTTATTATTTAGTTTATTTGCAAGGGCCTTTTTTAATTTTTTTCGCTTTCTGATTTTATTTTCTTCTTGATTGCTTTTAAAAGCAACATTTTTCTTTTATTTTATCTATTTTTGCTTTTTTTTAGATTTAACTTTTTATTTAATTTTAGATTTTCTTTAGTTTTTAGAAACTATTTTTTATTTATTTAAATATATAATTTTTTAATTTTATTTTTGAATTTTATTGTTTTATAAAGAAAAAATATTTATATCTTATTTCTTTTAAATAATGTTTTCTAGCAAATTTTTTTTACATTTCATGATTTTAATGCTTTAAAGAAAATTATTTGTTTTCAATTAAATCAAATTTTTAGAAATTTTATTTTTTTTGTAATTTTTTAAATTTTTTTTGAATATAATCTTTAATTTTTATTGTTGTAAACAAAGTATATCGCTACCTAAAAGCGAAAAGGTGCCGAGTCTACTTTTTTTTTAATTAATATTTTTGATGCATACATAATGAGCGATAATCGCGATTTCAAACCTTTTCACGTTTGGCAACGATATTTGTACATATTAGAGGTTTACGCCGACAGGCTTTGCGGCGGCGGCGTGGTCAACTTCAAAAATAATCGGCGGCGGCGGCGACGCCGGCGCGTCTGGAAACGCCGGCGCTACTGCCCATAAGGTAGATTCCAAAGAGCCATGAAGCTTCTAATCTTATCATGTCATCAGATTATAATTCTATTTAATTCATTCATTGACTGCTGCCGAACAGAAGAAAGTCTATATAGTACATACATTAGGTTTACCATCGAAAATGCTTTTTTTGAAAATTTAAAGATCCAACCCCCTAATTTGATTCGTTTTTATGAGAAATATTATTGCCTATTTTTATAGATTTTTTAAAGGCCATTTAGAGGTCGCGGCCTGTCGATTTAGGTCAGAAACTACGATTTTCTAGATTCATGAGTTTTTGAATGACTATTTTTGCTTGAATTTCAAAGAATTTTTTAAAATTTGACCATCGATAATTTCCACAATTTGAAAATATGTAGTACTAACGTACAAAAAAACGATTTTCGATGGGCACCCTAATATACATACATCTCTATGTACTCTGCAAATCCGTATGTACTATTTCAATTTAAAGAAATAAAAAAATTTAAAGGTTAAGTTATTGGGGTAATTTATGTCGCTATCAATAAATTTTTGCAATAAGCTTATCAACCGTTATATTAAATTACGGAGTTCTTAGGATTTTTTGCGGGTTATATATTGAAAATAAGATTGGCC